ACACTTTCACTTTCAGATGAGAACGTCCTGATAAGGTGCTGAGAGTCTGGTTATGAGGCATGTGTGCCTGGGCTTGTGATATCAGTTACGCACAGTGGGAGATTTAGTTCAAACATGGGACGTTTATTCTGCTGCTTTACAGGAAGAGTGGGGGAGGGGAGGTAAGGGAGAGAAAGATGCTTAAAGGCTTCTGCATTCAAATGTGCGGGTCTTTTTCACTTTTACTATCTTCAAAAAAAAAAAAAACTAAGATAAAATTTCAGTACTAAACTTGTTTTTGAAGCTTCAGTTTATGAAGAAGAAGGTGCTACGTACTATATGAACATATGGAGAGGGACAATTCTGCTGAAATCTTCTGAATTGTAGATTTTGCAACTCATAATTTGACTCAGATTTCAAACAGAATCAGCAAAAAGAAAAAATATATTAAGAAAGCATATACATTAATCAGCTAATATTTTCACATGGTATTGTTCTAAAAAACCATAACACCGTGAGAATTTGGGAGGATGTGATTATCTTTGTTTATTCTTCTATCCACAAATATATGTTAATTACTTGCTGCTTCCTTGTATTGTTATGATTTCGTCAAATGTACTAAATAACATACTTTTCTCCCTTAATTTCTTTTTTTAGGTCAGACACAGTATTGTGAAATAGCTAGGGAAGAGTTCCATGCCGTAGCATGTAAAGAGCCTGGACGTTGGAATCAGCTAGTCTAGGACTCAGGTTTTGGCTCCATTTGGACAAATCAATCACGTCACCATTCTGAGCCAATGAAATGAAGGCAGTGTAATAATACCTTCTGGCTGGGAATGAGAATGAAAGAAAATGGATATTGTTTGTAAAGTACCTGCTACAATCCCAGGCACACAGTTAGTGCTCAACAAATTATAGCTCAGTAGGGGATGAAAAAATAATTTTCTCTCTACTTTCCATAGTTCTTAGTCAGGATGGATTCCAGTAACAAAAGACAGATTAATAAGAGAAAAACAAACAGAAATTTAATAACATGTACACCTTATGTTTACATAGGAGATAATCTAGAGAAATGAGAGGGAGCTTTGAATTCAGGCTTAAATACCACTATCTGGTGCAATGAAGAAAGAAGGGTGTAGCAAAGCCCAGAAATGGGGAGGTGACCAGAAAAAGCATGTAAGGCAGTGCCTTCTCCACTGACAAGAGTCTCCCTGATTTAGAATCACCCTTCTCTTCCTGGTACTGACAGGGAGACATCCTTACAAATAAGGATTTCCTTTATAGTTTTAAATTTGTCTTACAAAAAGGTAACTTCTACTCTTATTTCAAAGCTTCTCTTGTATGTGCACTTTCTCAAAATAATCAGCTCCAAATAATCCTTACACCAAAGAGGAATTTTTGGTTGGTAGCATAATCTGATCTCTTACAGTCATATTTTGGGTTGGCATATTCTGATCTTGTATAGTTCCACTCATCAAAATAGTTAATAGGATATTATGTGACTTGTATTATTGCTTGTATTTCTCCTCTTCCAGACATTCAGTACACTGCCACCAGAATTATTTTTTCTAAACCACAGTTCTGTTAATGTAATTTTCCTACTCAAAGTCATTTGTCTATAGCCACAGTATTCAAGCATTCCTTAATAATATTAAAAAAAAAACCTATACATAAACTGAGTAAAAAAAAGCACTATTTTCATAGTATAAACATACTTCGTAAATTCAACTTTTAACATACTTATTATGAGGCAAGAACATAAGAATGAGGTTCTTTTAATGAATATAATAATTTTAATGTATTATATAATAATTTAGAATTGACAGCTAGGAATGTTTGTGATGTCTTTTATCAGTCTCAATATGAAAGTTATTTTGGACTTTTGTTTGTACAGTATACAGACAACATTGACAAAAAGAAAGAAGTCATATGTGATAGGTATTTTTTATATAGCAGTTTATTATCTCATGGTTTAAGTAATTTAATCTGGAAGCTTAAAACGAATAGTGGTAAATTTTGTTTATTTTCATCTATTTACAGGTCTTCTGCATTTTGGTGGAAATAAACAACTGAATCCCTTAGACAATTTCTAATTTACTTTTAACAGACAAAATCTTATAGTTTGCAAACACATTATCAAAATTTATTCTGATTTAAGTGTCACAGGACTCTTTACCCACTCTTGTTTCATATATATATATTATATTTTTACATTTTAAGATTTTTCATTTGGTAGAATACTTTGATCTCTCCCTCTACTTCCCTCTCAAAAAAAAAAGAAAACTATATTAGGTGGTGTGCTTATGGATCTTTAAAATTGGAATGTGATTGCATCTCTTTGTTGCATGTTTATAAATGTTTGGCTAGGCAGAAAATACCAAGGACACTATTCCTTTCCTCAAACTCTATCTTCCAATTTCCAGTGTTGCAGATGAGAAATCTGGTGGCAGTCTGATTATTTTCATTTGTTAGGTCTCTCTTTCTCTCTCAAGAAACTTATAAGATTTTCTCTTTTTCTTTGGAATTCAGAGCTCTACTGGATTGTGTCTGTCTGCATCTTTCTGATATAATTTTAACTGGCACTTGGTGAGCCTTTTTTATGTGAAAATTCAAGTTTGGCCATTAAGAGCACTTTCATGTTAGCCCCCGGGTTCCCTGGACTGGCTGCCTCCTTTTGGGATTTTTGAGCCTTCCTTACTTTCTGGCATGTCAAGATGCTTCAGGCTTATCTGTGTGCTGCAGCCCTGGTACTAGAACCAGCTGTTTTACAGAGAGCCCTGGTTCTGTTAAGTGGAGTGTGGTATTAGATAGTAAGATTTGGGCACAGGGTATGCCTCCTACTGTAGGAGGGTGATTGCTTCTAGATCCTTGTGGTGAGCAGAGCAGTGAGATGTCTACTGATCATGTCTACACAAATAACTCTGATTATTTCCGTACTCATCTATCTGTGTCTGTATTAAGCTAACCATGAGTTTATACTGGTGTCTCTGATCTAATGCAGCACCACATGGTTTATTCTAGTGTTTCTCCCTTACTTTTCCATAAACTCCCTCTCCAACAGTAAGAAATCCAGCTCCTACCACTCACCATCCATACTTACACAGAAGTTTCATAAATTTTAGCCTGTATTTCAGAAAATTATCTTTCAATTATTATAACTTTGATTTTTTTTAAAAAAAGAATACTATTTTAAGCAATCCTTTTAGAACAGTTTTATTGCTTGGCTGTTTCAGTATTTAGCCTTATAGATAAACAGTAAACTGCTTATCTACTTGGAGAGTATTTTGTTTGTAGAAAATTGTACTTAGCTTTTATTTTTTTGAAATATAAATATTGGCAGTTTTAACACAATACAACTGATAATATTCAGAATGATAGAAATCCTGTAAACTACTGCAATAATCAAAAATAACTTGAAGGCCTTCAATTTAATGACCATGCGTTAACAAAATGGCCAGGTAACATGGTATTAACCAAAACTGTTTTGAAAGATAACATCTTAATTGTTATTGCTATTAAAAGTAGAACCACTTGGACACACTTAGGAGTCAATGTTTCCCTTCATTCCCTGTAATATGGATAGTGGGTTTGTTTGGAGATGACCATGAGGGTGCCAAGGTGGTCTCTGGGTAATTCATGAGTTCTAGCTAGTGTGGTCATTTGTAAATTGTGGAGGTTAAGAGCTGTTTTAAATTATTGGATTAAAATTACACATGTAAAACATTTTCTTTATACTGAAATAGCATGATGTGTCATTTTGTTCTTTGGACATTATGATGATTTCTAAACTATGAAAATATCATTTATCTTCAACAAGCTAGATCTGAGGAATCCCAAGAAAAGTCTCATGTTACGGTTCCTTCTCCAGTTGTATATGTGTCTAGCATCCCACAAAATATTAATAATTAGTCTGTGTGATAATATCACATAAAGCAGGAACAATGGATGTTCCTGTCTTGACTGAATTAGCAGGCTGCATTATCTAATAGCTGACTCATAAGATTTTTGCAATTTAAGTAGCAGAAAGTTTAATAAATGCCTTCCTGATAATAAAAGTTTTACAACATGTATAATACACTAAGTTATTTGAATATCATAAAATTTAAACTTAAATCATGTTTTAAATAACATTGTTATTCAGTTCTTGCAGTCAGAAGTTAAAGGATTTATTTCCATTCACAGTAAATATATATTACAAAATGATGTTATCAGTTAGCGAGAATCACTTGGCAAGAACTCTTTTGCAAAATTCACTTCATAAAACATGATAAAGTTGAGTCTATTTTATTGTAATTAAAGATAAACTGGAAGGACCAATAAATAGAATCATAGTATTTTTGCCTGTGAATGATTTTATGTAAGAGTAGAATAAATTTATTTTATTTTGTGTTGTCACTTTGGTCAATATCAGCTGAACGATAAGGCGATAGCAAAGTTTGATTGGTCATTTCTTCCTGAAACTCACCCAACTTATAACTGTTCAATTATTTTACATTTCCTCATTTTAGGTAGAAATGTATATCTAGCTTTAAGGGTGATTATTTTACCTCATGGAACATAAAAATGTAGCATTTATAAATATAAAATTTGTACAAAATAAAGATATATCTTATTCTATGTTTTAAAATAGCTTTAATGTATCCTAGCATTTCCTGAAATTATTTGAGCAGACATGCTTAGGATAGACTATTTTAACAGTGGTCAATACAGCACTGCCAACTCTCTACTCAACAGCTTTTTTGTCCATTGGAAGTTTCAATAATTGCACAGGGGGAGTCAAATCTACACTCCACAATGAGATAACTTGGTTGCAGCTACTATATCAATGATCCCAGGAGGTTAAAATTTGGTATATTTTTGTTTGTGTAATATTTGGTCACGGGTTTTAAAAACCATTTAAAATGAAATTTAAGTGGCATCTGAATAAAATGTTTGAGGGACCTTAAAATACTCCACAGAACTCTAGGAATTCATGGTACATATTTGAAAGCTACTTGTAGAATTAAGTCCAGACTCCTCACCCACTTTTCAAGCTCATTTATTCTCTGCCCCCACCACATGCTGGTCTCAAGTCCTGTTGATCTCCAAGGCATTTCCAGTCATTGCATTTTCTTGGGCCCTCCATATTCTTTTCCATTTGTGTACTGTATGGGAAAAGAAGTTGTGAATATCTTGGTTTTTCATCTTAGGTTCATGGCTGACACCCCTATAATAAAAGACAGATTAATAAAATACACAAATTTACTTAATGTAAGTTTTATGTGACATAGAGCTTTCATATGGAAATGAATACCTAGAGAAATGGGTAAACCTGTGTATTTTTTATGCCAGGTTTGATGAAGAAGTGGATAGTTGTGGGAAAGTATGACTGAAGGAAGGGGGTATGATCTAATGGTAATGAGCTGGGGGAACTTAGCAAGGCCTGTTTGTTTAGATTCTTCAGTGTCCCTGTGACTTCAGAGATAAGGATGCTTCTTTCTTCCAGTTATTGGGAGGACACCTCTCCAATGATGGTCTTAACCTGCTTCAAGGGAAGGTCAGCAAGCCCTTCCTGGGTTTATAACCTGCCACAGGGGAGAATGGGGGAGGGGAGGGTGGCCTTCCTGCTCCCGCTATTTTCTCAAATGTGAAGGTACCATATTTGGGGCTAGTGTGTCCTGATCCCTACCAGTGACTGTCCTATTCTTCCTCATGCCAGATATATGTTTTCCTTCTTTACTCATAGTGGTAAATATTTATACTATTTCATTTACATCCAGAATTAGCTTAAAAGTGTGCTCTTTTGGAAAATCTCTGAATTCCCCACTCAGAGTCACATGGTTTTACACTCAGTGCTCCTTCAGGATTGTGTGCCTCCATTGCTAGGGAAAACCCATATTCTCTCTCCTTCCATGCCCAGAAAGGAGGAAACCTTTGTTGCTCTCCACACACAGAGAGTGCCTGGGACATGCCCATTGTCTGCAGCCTGGGACCAGCTGCTATGGCATTGTCTGGTACTGACCGAGCCCCATTTTCAGTGGTGAACACACTGGGAGATGATGTGTGTCTGCTCTTCCTCCTTATGGTCCTGTCTCAGGTCTGTGAAGCAGGCCTGTAGCTTTGGGAGATGTGGCCACCTAGGACCAATTATGTATCTGCAGGGCATACTTTATTCTGTAGTGGAAAAATCTATATTGAGGGTGCCTTGGGCCTTGGTTGCTTTTTGCAATAGTTTACTAAAATCCCTACACAATATTTAGTGTAGGAGGTGCTTTCCCAGATTAATAAAATCATCTCTAATTTTTCATTTTGTCTGCTACCCTTTAATATATATATGCCATAAGCCAAAAATTGGAAAGAAGTTAGAGTAATAGGATCCAGGCATACCAAATGCCTAACATGCATGTGACCATTTATCCAGATGCTCCTCTCCTCCACGTAGCTGTTTAATTCCTGAAACACAGGAAGGGTCTCTGAGCCCCAGGGACTGGCACAAGGACAGGGAGAAAAGAGCATGTTATAAAAGTGTATTTAATTAATACATAGTCAAAATAGTTTTTATAGAATTTGACCTGGTGTAATACATGAAGTTAATTGTAAAGGGAAAGAACAAGATGAGGTGGAAGACTTTAGGCAGTACAAGTAGTGGTTAGTAGTCAGGGCCCTGGAGCCAGACTAACCGGCTTGAATCCCAATTCTGATATCTACTAGCTGTGGTACTGTGAGAATTTACTTTCTGTGCCTAGGTTTCTTCATCAATAAAATGGGAACAATAATTGTATTATGTATACCACATTTTAATGGGATTAAATGAATTGGTATTTATAAAACAATTAGACAGCTGTGTGGCCCTTACTAAGAGCTAAATTAATATTTATTCAATCAATCAATCAATCATAGAAGAGTTGGGGAGATATTTCATTAGTATTGATGGCTTAAACCTAAAAGATGACATTAGAATAGTAGGTGGAGGAACATTATTGAATGGGAAGAAAGTGTTACTTTTTAGACATTTTTGGATTAATGAACTCTAGCTTTCCATCCATGAAGTTGATATGGTTATAGGAGCCTCTAAAAACTTCCCATCCCAAGTGTCATAATATAGATTTATTTATCTCTTTATGACAATCGTGGGGTGGGGGGATATGCTTTGATGGGGTGTCTGTCCATCTTGGTCCCTCTGTACTCCTTTTCTTATAACAGATTTTGTGGAAAAATGTGATCCATGTGCCAAATTGTTCACAAAGAAATATTTTGAGCCAAGAACAATGTAAAACTTTTGAAAATATTACAAATATCTTCATGCCTGAAAGAAAATAATTACAGTTAACATAGATATAAAATTATGTAGTTACCATGTTTTCAGAACAGTCAACAGGTAAATCTAATAAATGTGATTTAAGATTAATAGGGTTAAAAAAAACTAACAAGAGATTTCTGTTACCCTAAACCAGGGCACACATGATGGCTTTATGCCTTTAATGAAATGCAAAAAGGCACCCCTTCTGGGAGGACGAATTACAAAAAGGCAGCTCTTCTTCCTGGGTGGCATTGCTTGCCAAGCCAAGCCCAACGTGGGCACATGTGTACAGCACAAAATGCCAACCAGACATAGAGGCTCTGCTAAGTCTTCATCAAAAGAGATGTGAAATTGTTCGTGACTAATATTGCTTAGTTTGGAGTTAGGTGTCAGCATATTTTGAATCTGTGAGATAATAGGTGATATTATTTTTATGTATTATGAAAATGCATCGAGAAATTGTAAAGTATAGGTAGGTTCAGAAAACATATTGGGCATTCTCAATGTACCTGACATTGAACTAAGCTCCCGAATCTGAAAATGAAAATATAGTAAAATAGAGCTTAAACACTTATTTATTAAACATTTTTTTAAAAAGCAACCTATTTCTCTTAATCTGAAATAACTAAGATGATCAAGTGAGACATTATACATAAAAAATATAAACCCTACAGTGTTTCAAAATGTTAGTTTTTACAGTTTTAATTATGCAGAGCTTTTTCTTTTTCTCTTTTTTTTTGTTTTTTGCAGAATACTACAGGGGTATAACTGTTTTGGTTATGTGAATTGCTTTTGTACTGCTGAGTCAGTTATAAGTGTGCCCATCACCTAGGTAGTGTACATTGTACCCACTAGGCATTATTTCACCCATCTGCTCCTCTCCCTTCCCACCTGCATGATTTCCATTGATTTTTACTTCCATCTGTGCACATGAGTGCTGATCAGTTAGTTCCAATTTAATAGTAAATACATATGGTGTTTGTTTCTCCATTCTTGTGATACTTCATTTAGAAGGATGGTCTCTAGTTCCATCCAGATTGTTGTTAAAGGTATTAATCCATCTTTTTTATAGTTGAGTAATACTCCATGGTATGTGTATATATGTGTGTGTATATATATATATACATATACATACACACACACACACACACACACACACACCACATTTTATTAATCCACTCATGAATTGATGGGCACTTGAGTTGATATCCACTTCTTTGTAATTGTGAATTGTGCTGCAATACACATTCAAGTGCAAGTGTCTTTTATATAGAATGTCTTTTTTTCCTTTGGGTAAATACCCAGTAGTGGGATTGCTAGATCAAATGGTAGGTCTACTTTTAGTTCTTTTAGGAATCTCTGTACTATTTTCCATAGATGTTGCCCTAGTTTGTAGTCCCACCAAAGTGTATAATCAGGGGTCCTCAAACTTTTTAAACAGGGGGCCAGTTCACTGTCCCTCAGACCATTGGAGAGTATGCACTATGGACCCAGGATGAGTCAGCTGCTAAGCAGGACAGGCAGCTGTGGCAAAAACACCCAGCTGGCCGGATAAATGTTCTAGGTGGGTGGCATGTGGCCCACGGGCTGTAGTTTGACGATGCCTGGTATAAGTGTTCCTTCTCTCCACACGTATGCCAGCATCTACTGTTTTGGAACTTTTTGATAAAACCTATTCTCACTGGGGTTAAATGATAGCTCATTGTGGTTTTGATTTGCATTTCTCTGATGACTAGTGATGTTTTGAAAAGCTTCTGTTCATGTCTTTTGCCCACTTTTTAGTGGGTTTTTTGATTTTTTTCTTGCTGATTTGTTTGAATTCTTGGTGGATTCTGGTTTTTAGCCCTCTATCAGATGTATAGCATGTGAATATTTTCTCCTATTCTGTAGGTTGTCTATTTTCTCAGTGATGCAAGGAGAAAAAGCCCTATCTAAGCAAAAGAAAATAAAAAAATAAGAAGCAACAGCTGCTCTAGATGAGAAGAAAACAGGGAAAGAACTCCAGAAGTATGAAGAATAAGGGCAAAAGGTCACCCTAAAGAGAGAATACCAGCTCTCTAACAATGGAAACCAACCAAAATCAGAATATTGAAATGACAGATAAAGAACTCCAAATATGGATTTTAAGTACGTTCAATGAAATACAGGAGAAAATGGAAAACCAAAACAAGGAAACCACCAAAAGAAAAAAAAAATCAGGAAATGAATGAAAAATTCACTAAACAAATCAAAGTATTAAAGAGAAATCAAGTAGAACCTCTGGAAATAAAACATTCATTCAAGAAAATACAAAACACAGTGGAAAGTCTTACGAATAGACTAGATCAGGCAGAAAAAACAATCTCAGAGCTTGAAGACAACACATTCAAATTAAATCAATCAAAGATAAAGAACAGAAAGTTAAAAGGAAGAAACAAAGCCTACAAGAAATATGGGATCATGTAAACAGGCCAAACATAAAAATTATAGACATCCCTGAGGGTGAAGACAAAAACACACAAGGGCTAGAAAATCTATTTGAGGGAATAATTGAGGAAAACTTTCCTGGTCACGCTAGAAATTTAAATTTATAGGCACAAGAAGCTCAACAAACACCTAAGAGATTCATCCCAAAGAAGCAATCCTTATGACACAGTCATCATACTAACCCAATTTAACACGAAGGAGGAACTTCTGCGAGCCATAAGGCAAAAACATCAGGTAATTTACAAAGGAAAACTCATTCGGCTAACTGCAGACTTCTTAACTAAGACCTTACAAGCCAGAAGGGACTGGGGCTTCATCTTCACAATAATGGCCTGCCAAGAATTTTGTATCCTACAAAACTAAGTTTCTTATATGAGGGAGAAATAAAGACCTCAGACAAGTGAACACTGGGGTAATTATGAAGTTTAATAATTTATGGATTATTTTGAATCACTATAAAT